TCAGATCGGGTAACGTCATGGACAAACAAAACTCAGGTCGAATCTTACCGGATATGGATTAACTTCAGGTCGAATTTTTTTTGGGTTAATTATTTTTCGCCTTTTAACATTTCATGAACGTGAGAACGTCGAATTGTAATTTGTAATTCTATATGATTTAGAATAAATTACAAAAAATATAAATAATTATGTGTCAATTTTGATAAAAATATAATTCAAAGTACTAAATTGAACAAACATAAAATTAGAAACAAAAATTTAAATAAATTAAACAACACGTATGGGTGAGGGATCAAATTGAATTTATTATAAAATGTAAAGTTGAAATTAATATAAAAATAGACTAAATTGCATACATTTAAAAGGTTGGTGAACAAAGGTTTATAGAATTTGAAATGAAATTTATTATGTTATTTATAGGGTTTGAAGTGTGTTGGATGATTGGAATCATTTGGAAATGCATAAATAATAATTTATCTATAACTTAGGGTTTATGGAAAGATTGAATTTGGATTGAATTGATATGGAATTTATTGGAATTGCATGGAATTGAAGTTGAGAACTTGAATTCATGCTTGAAATAAGTTGGAAATCATTAAATTTTCTCCTAGGGCATTCGGCCTAAGTGAATTAAATTAAGAAAAATAGATACAAAAATTTCCTATGAGTTAGAATTGATGTTAGAATGATTCTACATGATTTAGAAAGTTGTTTGGACCAATTTGGTACTTGGTGGATATGTACGGACTATTTCGCATACTTTAGTAATTTTGGGGGAATAAGTGTAATTGCTCAATTGATGAAGGCCTATGCTGAAAGTTAACTATTAAATGCTTATTTTTTTTTATGTTAGAATGTTGTTATGGATCAATTTATAAGTTGGTTAAAATTGAGCACCAAATCAAAAATTATAGGAATCTTGGGTTTGGTTTGGAAATTTGCATAAAGTTGATGGGTATGCTTTGATATTTAATGCTGGAAATTTAGTGTTTGGAATCAAGTTAAAGTGAACCGACAAAGGATTATTTTGAATAAATTGCAAAGGTGGAGATGAATTAAAAAAGAATTCATTTTATAGTGAAGTTATGAAATTAAAATTAAGTTTGGAAGTATTGAATGAATATTATTATTGAAGGACACGAAGTGTGATTTTTGGAATATTAAAGTCAATAATTATACTGAGAAGTATATTTAGTATCTAACGAATATCAAATAAATTTTTATAATTTACGTTATTACGTTTTGCCTATGTTAGTATATTACTAACATATGCTTTGAAATATATGTGTCGCGAATGTGGTTTTTTTTTAGATACTCAACAAAAGCACGATCAAAGTGAATCGAAGACTAAGGAAAAACTACCCGAATAAGGATATCGAAGCAAAGGATGGTTAGTGAGGCCTAAGGTAAGTTGCATTCTTACCTATTTATTTATATTGTTATGATACGAGTAAGACTTGCAATACCTCTAATGTTTTCGAAATAAAATGAATATGAATTTTTATGAAATATTTTCATAATATTTTCTAAAATGAATTAAGAATGATTTTAGGGTATGAACTGTCAATCACTCTAACTTATGTTATGATTATTTTTTAATGGTAATTAAAATATGATTTTTGATTATTGAGCCTATTGTATGTGCATTGAGAGTTACTGGTACGATTGACATGCCATGAAGTTAAGTGATTATGTATTTGGTACATTAATCTACATATGTCTTGCACTATTTATGCGTTATGGGCTTCACAATGTATTGACATTGTGAGTAGTCATTATTTGATTTATGTTTTCAATATAGTGATGTTGTGTTCTACAGTACTTATATTTATGTCTGGTACCAAGGGCGCGTTCTGTTTTGACAATTACGATTGCATATTGTGCACACACTCGTTTTGACTCGTGTACCTAGTATTACCAGTTGTATACATTAGACTATCTGTTAAATATTCTAAAATATGCATGATTGTTTATTTCATTAAAAGTAACTCTTTCTCTGAATATTCTGATACGTAAATATAAAATTATATTATGAATGATATTTTCAAGTTCTTGATGAAAGAAAAGAATTATTCAGTCTGTTATATGTTCTTATATTTTATAAGATATTTTTTTGTAAGAAATTTAATTATTCATTTTTATATTGATGTGATTTATTTAATTAAATAATGTCTCACTAAGTTGTTACTCAACGTGTGAATACTTCATCCATAGGTAAAGGAAAAGACCAGTCAATGGAGTAGGGAGCATAGCGCGGGCATCACTTTTTGCGGATTGCACCTATTCCCGTATCAGTACGGTATTTACCGTTTTTGACTTATCTAGTCGGCATGTATATTAAATATATGGTGTTGCTCTGATAGATTAGTTTCATAAGTTGGGTTGTATTATATAAACTAGTTTAAGTAGTATGTATATAATTGGATATAGCTACTATTTTGCATGGTTAGTAATTATTAAATTATGATTATAACCCTATTGAAATGAGTTTTTACATAGGCAATTTTTAGGCAATTTAATTTTAAACATAAATCAATATCGAACTATCAAATTACTGCCTGAAATCAGATCTAATTTTAAGGTCAAAATATTAAATTTTATGTTACGAGATTAGTTAGTTGATGAAAAAGGAAAATGAATGATTAAGTTTCAAAAAGTTCAAAATTTGACCCGATTTTGTTTAATAAGTAATTAAAAGTTAACGTGACATCTTTAACTCATAATTGAGTACGTTTACGAGTTAAAGGTGCCACACTTTCTTTCACAACTATAAACTTTATTTCAATATACTTTAACTTAGATGAGCTACTATTTTTATTTGAATTAATATTACTAACTATCACAAAATAATTTAAAGGATTTGTCTAATGCAGCTTAATACCAAAGTTTTATAATTATGTTATATGGTTTGGTGTTTCATAGCATGCTATAAACTCCTTGTTATAGTAGAAGTTGCAGGTGTTTGTTTGTCACATTTCTAAGATAGAGTTTTTTTTAACTAGAATGTAAATACACCATAACGTAGGTTTCCTGATATCTTGACATTCATCCGTATCAGAATTAAAATATTTTATGACCTCTAAATAATTTGATCTCTCGTAAATGAGCATGTAGTCCTTTATTCTCTAAAGATACATCATAATCCTCTTAGGTGCTATCTAATAATTCATATTAAGGTTGCTTGAGTATATGTCTAATATTCCAACAATGTACGTAAGATATAGACACATATATACTTAAGCATGCATTAGACTCCAATAGTTGATGTTTAGTTGATGTGTAAGAAACTTTTGTATTTTTTAAATTTCAAGGTTATTTTTAAGCAGGGTGAACAAAAATCGATTCAGTTAAAAAATTTGACTCGACTCGACTTAAATTCCATACATTCAAATAGATTTTAAATAAAATTTGAATGATAAAATATGACACATAACTCGAAAATTTTAACTCGGATCAATTTGATTAACCCAAATTTCTTTATAATTTTAAGTTTAATTTTGACCAAAAGAATCACAAACTCCTCTAACACTATAAAAATTACTTTGTTTACAACCCTTAACTTTATATTTTATTCAAGGCATAATGAAAAAAACACACTCGTTTGATGAATTTGACATTTTAGTCTCTATTGTAGTTTATAGAGTATATTAACCTAACAATTTATTTTGGATCAAAGGTCTCCTTTTTAGATGAAAACCATTAATTAACTAACGGTCACCATATATAGTTGATGTGTCGTGTCCACTCAAGAGGTGCTGACCTCACAAAATGCAATGTCAACAATTTTTCAAATTATTTATAAAAAATACTCATTTCAAATTATTTACAATCAATCAAATAATGTCATGTGTCACCAACCAATCAAAGAGTAACATGAAAAAGATATTTTTTTTCGAAAAAAATCAAATACAATGATACAAAGAGACCTTTATAACTAACTGGTTTTGTACATTCAGGTAATGAGACGAGTTTCCAACTTTATTGTATTGCGTAGACCTGTATTTTTTATGACATTAATCTACTTTTCAAAGATAGTATCTTTTTATGATATGATGAAAATTGATTGGATTATCTTTCATGGTTCTGTTGTCATTTTCATTTTTTATAAGTGAAGAGAAAAAATAATTATTGAAGAAAAGAGAAAAGTTGAAGAAAGATGTATGCAGGAGGTAAAAAATTGTTCAATTTGCCTGCTGAATTCCATCTCACAATCCCAATTCACTATAAGTAGAGCACAAGACAGCTTAATTAGAGACATTCTTGCTTGTATGATTTGCGAGTGAGTTTATTTTCACATCTTGAAAGTTGTCAAATAACCTTCGATAAGAAAGATTAACCCTGCAATAGTCCTAGGATTGATTGAATTATAAATAGTACTTGTATCACAACTTATTAATGGATTCTTCAGACAAATACAGGTAATTCACCAGACTGCATAAACATCCTGATGCATTTTAGTTCCTCTTATCTGCTTGTTCTATAGGAAAATGCAATGTAAATCCATTCCAAACCAAAGTGTTCAGTTTCCTATCTCTTATGTTTTGTTTCTTTCCTCTCTCTCATTATATACATGCAAAACATACAATACAAAGGCAGCCAGTAGCACAAACCCGAAGCCATTTGCCAATCCCTTCCCTTCTGATGATACTTAATCGTAAGCCTGCACTTTTTATCAAGAACTTGTTAATTTGTTCCATCACCTTTCCATTAATTGAATTGAGCTCTCGAATGAATTAAACCTAAGACAATCCTAAATGACTAAAGCTTGTATAATCCAAATAAAACTTGAAATTATAAGGAACCTGAATCTTAGATCAACTTGATCCAGAAATAATAAAAAATCGAGGACACACCAAACCAAACCAACCAAATTGGACACGCATCATGTGAAAAGCTGCCTTCACATACAACCCTTAACCATTTGTATAATTCTCTAATCCGACCAAAATAGCATTGAAAGTATTCTCAGACAAGAATAAATAATGTATGAACACATGATAAACTAATAAAACAGACTGCTTTCTCAGCTTCCCGTGTTTTTTCTTTCCCATGCATTATCAACCAACATAGAGGTAAATATCATAATTGCATACAACCATTGCAGAAGTACATATAATAATAGCAACAAGGGAAGATCTCAGTTTTCTCATCAATCAATCAAGATTCATTCCATGTAGAAAACACTACAATAATAAAATCTTAAATTCACCAGATTAATGTGGGGAAGTGCATTTTTAATACAGCTCAAGGGGGATAAGCACAGGAAGACCTGGAGATTCTATAGCAAAGCTACTGAGGCACTTCTAGGTTCGGTCTTTGGTCAAATACTTCCCTAGTTGATTCATCCGGAAATGCATCTGGATAGGTAGCCATAATTTTTGCCTTCATGCTCCTGTAGAAAAACATAAATAAACGGGAGGAGAGACAGAGAGAGAGAGAGACTTTCTGGATTAGATAGGATTTAAATATAAGTACGTTGTGCAGACTCAAGTCAGAAAACTGCAATATTTTGAAAAGTATAAATCCATACAGAAAACTAGGCACAGAGGATTCTGGAAAGCAGACTGAGATGCTTATCCTGATATTCAAACATTGCTAATTGAAGCGGGAGTGAAATGTTTATCCTGACATTCAAACATTGCTAATTGAAGCAGGAACTGTAATTCTAAAAATCACAATCAGTTTATGTTTTCTTTAAGGGGTTATCAAATGCAACTTTTAGGGGAAAATATGTCTATGCTTATTCAATAGAGGTTAGAGATGGCCTAACAATGCATGGAACGCATCCTCAAGCTACATTTATACAAAAAGTACTAAAAACATTTCCCAATTTTGCGTTATCATTAATTTTAAATTATCAACATTAATATGTCCAACATAGGTTTCATGAAGTTGCATGCCAAGGAAATTTAGAGAGAATATACATTCTTTAGGTCTTTAAGATTCAGATGAGAATTTAAAACTTCTACTAGTCACCAAAACCTTTTGGATACAAAGACAAATCACATATATTGCTGTTATCATCTTCAAGCTGTTTTTCCTAACAAAATAGTTTATCTTGATGTTCAAACATAGAAATTAGACTTGAATAATCATAAACTCGAGAGAACTAATTGTAGCTCAATGAAAATCCAACAAAATACAAATATTAATTACAATTACACGATAGCTCCCCGGGGGGGGGGGGGTGGATGAAAGAAGCAAAGAACAGCGTACCAAGGTACATAAGATCAATGTAGATTAAATAACTTTACCAAACATAATGTAATTTGAAAGATGATATTTGGCAGTTGGCACCACTAGGGGCATATTTTGTGGCATTAAGAAATGTAATCATCAACAAAGGACAAAAAGAGGTACGAACGAGGTGCTTACTATTTAGGCCTAACCTGTTTTCGGCAGACTGCAGCTGATTTCTTAAATCTATCAATCTGGATTGAAGTATGCTAAAACAATGGGAGCAGTTGTACTTGAAATTCAAAACAATTACAGCTCAAACATATTCTACAAGTCTATTCTGGTGAGGCCTCTTAAAGAGGTACTTATGTGAACTGAAACATATGTGGAAGTGTTTGACACAACTGAAACATTTAAAGTCATGCAGAATATTTATTTTGGACCAAGAAGAATGATATAGCGTACTGAGGAAGTGCATGTATTCGCATCTTAACAGGTTCTCCAATCAACTTCTATACAGGTCAATGGTAGTTAGACAGCTTAAGTCACAATACTTAATCGGAAGCAATCTAAAAACACAAACACACACAATAAAACTCTTAATTTTTTAAAAGGCATCTTAAAATTCTTTCCAATTCTTTTATTTTTTCCTTTTGTTATGCATCCCTGTTTTTTATTCTTGTACAAATCTAAAGTGTTATTTGCAAAAGCAAAAGCAATAACAAAAACAAAAAAATTGTAAAAATCTAACGATGAAAGGAAGTATCAACTAGAATTCAGAATATTAATAAAGGTTCTTTAAATGCCGTCTTATTCCACTCACAAGAATATTTACAAAAACGTGAATTTACTATTATAAAATTTCCAACTCTACACTGAAATCAAGTTTATTAATCTTTAGAAGGCACAAATATATATATCTAACAAGACAGAAAATGAGTCTAGGAAAGCTAGTTGTGCAAACTCTATATTGGAATAGTACAACAGCCAGATAATAAGGTGAAAATAGTTACTATGACCAGTCACTGGACATAATCCCCATAGTCTTGAAAATTATATAAGGAAACTGCAGAGCTTAGACCTGAATAAACATTTAAGAATCTTCACATATATCATACTTTAAATGTCATCATAGAACACTATAAAAAGAAAATAACTTATTTACTGAAAATCTCATATATAGCCAACTAAAAGTTAAAACAATAACTTCTACCTGAGCTTTTGAAAGATATAATCAAGGTCTGACTTCATAGATTTTAACATGCGTGTATTTCTTGAAAAGTCACTGGAAACCTCAGGAAAGCAATGTTCTGAGTAGTCGTTAAAATGAGATAAGACCGCATTGCTGTCTTGTAGCCTTCCCAAGCTGCAAGTTATGTCACACAATCAAATTATAAAAAAGACCTATAATAATACAGGAATAAAGATTGCTACTCAAATCTAAGCTACTTTTTTTGCAATCAAAAGCAAGGAAAAAACATAAAAGTATATATAAGATAGTTTGCACTGCATTCAATTGTAATAAATCCATAATCATTTTGGTAGAGTACACTATTCCTGTTTTCTGTCGGGACAAAAATTTATCCACAGAACAAACATGTAAAGTGGCTTCAGCTTGATACGTGACTCTTCTAAGTCACTCTCTGGATACATGCCAGGAGCCATACCCTGTTCACTCTAGTCCTCGAGACAAGGGCATGGACATATGCATTCGTATCTACACAGCATCTCTTCAAATACAAAATAATCACTATTTATTTTAGATTGCAATAGAAAGAAAAAAAAAACTCAACTTTTTACAGTCTTACTACGTAATTATAGCAAACAAATGAACTTCTCAACAGAACATACAAAAACGAATTATCATATACGCTGGGAATCAAATCCAACCTTATAATAAAATATAAAATAGAAAAAAAGCAGAAAGAAAAATAAAAGGGAAAGTACATGAGGAGCTGCAAGTGCCTGAGAGAATCCAAATCATTCGCATCGATTAGGGTTTTGAACTGACGAGACACCTCGTTCGAAGCTGCTCTTATCGATTCTATTTCTTTCTCGATTTCTGCCATTTATCTTTCCTCTACTGTTTTATAGTTGTTATTTGCACCTGAGAGCAAAAAAGTAAAGGATTTAGAGGGAAAGTGGTAAATAAGCTCCATCTCCTTTATACTTGGATGTCCTACCCTTTTCACCATGCCACGTTATACTTATATTAATTGTTTTAATATTTAATATCCTTTATTTTGAGTAATACTTTTAATTTTGAGTAATACTTTTAAAGGATTAAAATCAAGATGGTTAGCTTTTGAAAATATAATGATAAGATTAGATATTAACATTAATATGATGTGTAAATGAATAATTTGAATGAAAAATTTAAAAAAAATAGTGTGTCGCGATAAATCACTTCTTAAAAATAAATTCGTCACGATTAATGTAGTCGTTGCACTAGATGATATATTAAGATTAACATAGTCACTCCAAAAGATTGTACACCCGAAATTTAAATTTTTAAAAATTAATAATAATTTGATTTAAAGTCTATCATTAAAAAATATAAAAAGTATAAACATAAAAGATAATGATGAATATTAAAATATGAGAACCATATATATATATATAGATCAAATTAACATTTGTATCTGATTCATTTAAAAAAATATTTTATATAATTTGTATTAAAGTTTTAGTTAATTTAAAATCTTTATTTAATTATAAATTAAAGAGTGTTTAACGGGGGTATATATACGTATTGCAACCACTCCAAGTCTAGAAAAATTTCTGCACATTCAACATTTTGGAGCTGGATTGATTGGCACTTGTTGTTTCACCTTTCCATCAATCTGCATGTTTGAGAAATTCCATATGTCATTGCAGTGGCTGAATATATCCATCTCTGCTTCTCCCAAGAAAGTGCCTTTGTCGTATATCCATCATAATTATGGTTGCCAATCATCTTTATCTGTCTAACCATAATATGTTATTGAACACGCTAGCTGTAAATGGTTCATAAATAGATACAATCACGATTCTAAAATGCAGCACTTCATTCCAAAACAGAAAACCTTTTGCAGCTACCAACTTTTCTTTTTGGGGAAACAACTTTCATAATACAACGTACTCAGAAGTATACTACAGTTACCAACTTCACATCCCCAGACAGCTCGGGTTCATCATTCCAAACTGGATTCGCGAGAGTCTATATTGGTCGGTCAGGCTCAGGCCAAGAGAAATGACAAAGAAAAGCTAAAGTTGAGAGAGTCTATATTGGCCTGAAGCCCTGAACTCTAACCTGATAAATCTCCTCCCCTCATCATGACTACTATCTGGACCAGGCTTTGAATAACCTTCAGGTATATAGGCCTCATATATTGCATTAGCAGAGGAATTTCCTCCAACTTCAATCATGGAATCAATATCTTCATCAGACCATTGAGCCAATGCCACAGATAAAACCAGAAATCGTCAAAATGTAGAATAAAAAAGTAACGAGTTAATAAAACCTGAAATTTCAATGCATCAAATAGTATTATGTCAGTGGAAATGCAAGCATGATATAGGCATCAATTTGGTCTAAATAACGATAACTATAAAAGTAAAAGGAACATATTACCAATATATATTAAGCCCTTTTCAAAGGTCAATTCAATCACAAGAATCCAAAGCTGAAAGATTCTACACCTAAAATCATAAACATGAGAAAGACTTGAGTTAAAATTATGAATGATTTAACTGGTATTCTCATCATAAAAATGTTTTACATATTTCCCCTAATGACAAGTCAAAGTTCCGTGAACAAAAATATTATATCGGACTATTTGATGCAGCCTAAAGTACTCACCTTGGAGATGCACTTCTGTGCACACCACAACATTTCAAGCATATGAAGAAAATCCATATTTTAAGTGTTTGTATTTCGTGGAAAATCCATTGTCTTGTAGGTCGGTCGAAACAAGGAGGACAAAAAAGAAAGAAATGAGTGGCATTTTAAGGATGTTAAATCATTCCTTCATTCTCAAGCACCGTGTTAAATCTTAGGCACAAATTTTACATTTCGTTGTGAAGCAAGCAAACAGACAAATTCAAAATATTAGCTCTCTTTCCACCTTAATTTATTGTAGCAGAAATGCACATGCCAACTACAAAACAATGCTAAGATAAGACCAAAAGCAGTTACTAGAAGAAAAGTTTGATCCTGCTAACTGAAAAATTGGGTATGTCATTTGGCTAAGTATTGAACTTTATTTTAAAAAAGGTTCCCTCATGGCTATCTATCTGAAATGCACTTCTATTGAACAGGCTGAATATGAGCACCATTTGTTGATGTTTAATATTGGCTTACCTGAGGTAACCCTCTTAACTCCACTCATCAACAAGCAAGCTTGGAAAACTGAGAAACCAAAAATCAGTCGGTTTCAATACTTCTCTTTTTCGTCTCCCTAATGCATTCCAAAGAGAACTGAAACACCATAAAATCAATTATTTCAAACAAGGAAAACATTACGGTTACAGAAAAAAAAAATTGTAATATATTTCCATTTCCAGCAACAAACAGAGAAAATATCAGCTAAAGGTTGTAAACAGTTAAAAGTAAGTCAAATTCAATTCCAAAATGAAATGGAAAGAACTTAAAAAAGATGTTTTGGAATTTAGAAGATTGAGAATCCAATGATACCCAGAGACAATTTGGTGAAGAGAGGGAGACAAAATGAATAAATCAAAAACAGAATTGAGATATGATACAAAGACTCCCATGACAGTTTCAGTGGTTTAATTTTAAGATCATGTAAATATTAAACAAATATAATTATATTAATTACCTATTTTTTAAATAGAATGACATTTTTATCATTTTCTATTCAGTAATATATAAATACATACAAGGATAGAGTATATAAGGATGGAAATCGCTGGCCCCTTTTTGTTTCCCCTCCCGGCTCCCATCAAAACATGCCACCTTATTTTAATAGGAATTGTTTTAATATTTATCCCCGTAACATCTCGAAAATTTCCAAATTTAAAATCCTAAAATTTGGGAATTTTTTCCCTAAATCCCTAATTTAACTTTGGTGACTAAATAGAATTAATATAACATTATGTATTCATTTAAGAAACTATAGGAATTTTATGGATTAAGTTTGTAATTTTTCCATTTTCTTTTATAATTCAATTTACCCAAATTCCTTTAAAAACACTGCGTCGCCATTAGCCGCCATTTTTCCCTTCTCTGTTTTCGTTTCAACGTTCACCTCCGCTGCTGCTTTTTCCGTCCTTGTCCTTGCCGATCCAAGAGTCCAACGTTTCCAGTCGTCGTTTATAAGCTTTGCAACGCAACCCCAACACTTTTTTGCCGTTGCCGTCGTATTTTGGTAAGAACAGAGAAGCCGAGACCCTCCGTCGTCGTCGTGCCTTGTTTCGGCTGTTCGAGGCCATTGCGTGGCTGGGTTCTTGTCGGGGAAGGCCTAATTGGCTTGGGTCGCAGTTGAACAGCCCCGTTTTTGCCATAAAAATCTCTTGTTGCTACTGCCCTTTCTCGTTGACAGCATCGCCTGTCGTTTAAGGTCACAGCAAGGTCGGCTGTGAGTTCACCAGTCCATGGGACTGCTGCCGGTGAAGTTTCGTCGCGGACAGTCACGCTTAAATATACCGACAACCTGTTATATATTCGAAACTAACCCGCTGCCGGTCCCTGATCGAGTTGGAAATAATTTTAATTTGCCGTTAAATTGTTATTTTGTAATCTAAAATTACTGACTTGGAATTTGAATCGAACCTCGTTAATTTTGTTAAAAAATAAAACTGAGAATTGAGTTATCGCTCCCTTCGTTGTTACTAGCGAACTTCGAACTGAACTGTATTTCTCGTGTTGAGCGAGAGTGATAGTTATTTTTAGTTGTTGATATTTATTGATTCTTTAGTATATTTATTTATTTATTAAAATAATTCGTAAGAATTGGTTCGAGTTGATCCACTATTAGGGTTATTCGTGATAGACGCCTCGATTGTTGTTAGTTATATCGAAGTGTGTCTCTATTTAGTGTTATATTATTTGTTTAGTTGTTTATTTGTTGTTTGGTTGAAAATGATTGAAAGTATGCTTGACTATGAGATTGATTTTGATAAAAATAAAAATGTCATGCTATAGAAGTTGAATTGTCGGAATCGAAATTACGTACATAATATGAGATTGTGTTGTGTTATTGGAATCATAATATATGTGTTTCGAAACATTTGTTCATGAAATATTGTTATTCAAATCAGATCGGACATCATTTATGTATGTCATTTGTATGTTATGTTGAGATGAATTTTGATATGGAAAGTTTAGTGCATTTACTCAGCGCAGTGAATGTCACTTTATGATTCTATGGCCTCTGTCTTTGTGGTGGATCCCACTTCAGATGGTGTAGTTTGATTGTAGATAATGTTGTTCTGGGAACCGACTCTTCAGATGGTGTGTCAGGAGTACGAGTGGGTGCATAAACATTTGCATAATATTCAATTTATGATCATCACTATTTGATTCGGATTATAATTACTATTGATTAATTTCGATTATGTTATGATTTGTGTTTGTTTGTACTTTAGAGACATACTAAGTTTTATAGGTTACACCTCATAGTTTCTATTTCAGATTACTTGGAGAATCGGACTTAGTAGAATCGGTACTTAGAGAATTAAAATTATTATTCAGATAAAACATAATTTTAGTATGATTTTTATTTGAATTTTCTTTATCGAATTTGTGCTTATATTATTTTTGGATTATAAATTTGAGACTTTGGACATTATAGTATTTCGAACTGTTTTTACATTATTTAAAAATAATTATTATTCATATTAATTTTTTTGGATATTTTATTTTAATAAATCATGAATTATTGAACTTGAAAATTGTTACTCTATTATAAATAGTATTTATAAGTTTGAATCAAACACGTTTTCCACGAGAGAAAAGATTTCAATTGAGCTCATTAGATTCGATATAATTTCTTCTAGGTCTGGTCTAGGGGTTATAGTCCCTATTTATTTTATACTAAATTTTTATTAATTATAAAAATAATAATGTTATTAATTTATAATTAAATATTTAGTTTATTCGAAAAATATTTTATTTTATGATTTATGCTAACTTTTTAATTAATTTAGCCCTAAAACATTGTTTAGGAGTGTAACACCTCAAACTTCAGACTAGTAGTTTCAAGTTTACCAAGAGGTATGTGGACCACATAGAGTCTGTGATTAGAGTTGTTGGGCTGAATGAGGGCTTAATTGGATGAGAATTGGGTCCAATTAGCCAAAAAAAAGAGATTTTTGTATAATAGAAAATGATGAGGGACCAAGTGTGTAATTTTACCTATTTAGAAAAGATGAGAAGCCTTTTCTCATTCTCTCAATTTCTTCACTCTTATTTCCCTTTTCGTTCTTCCTCTCCAAGTGTCACAATTAAAGATGAATCATTTAAGCTTTATAATATGTCTCTAATTCCTCCAGCAACATCTTTTATGTTTATAATCTCGTAACTTTTCTTTTTGACTAAATAAATGGATGAAAATCATCTTAGTTCAAGAAGAGTGAGATGAAGTAAAGCTTGTTAAGAAAAAAAACTTCATTTAGAGTTTCTAACATCAAGGTAGTGTAATTCTAATCATTTGTGGTGTTAAAGCTTTTAAAAGCATAGAAATTTGAGTATTTGACCATTTTAGGGTTTATGGTTATTTCATGATTAAATGACGTTTTTGATGTAAAACATGTGCTTTATTGTACTTTATGACCCTAAGTAGCTTCCATAAGCTTTAGCATATTAGGAATCAAACTAAGACCTATGGAATAATTTTTTAGTGTTTCTCGAGATTAAATAAGGCATTTCTGGGTTTGAGTATCGATACTGGATGAAATGGGATGAATTTTGGGCAATTTTAGTTGGGAGCATGGTATCGATACTGGGCCACTTTTTAACAAACGAAAGTTATTTTTTGTACCGATACTTAAGGAGGTGTCGATAATTGACCTTAGGGTAGCAATACTACATGTAAGGTATCGATACTACTTATTTTGGATGATTAAATTCGACTCCGTTAAGGCCCGTAAGAGTCAAGGATGATCTGTAATGGTATAACTTAGTATGTGAGGGACATAAATGGCTAAATGTGCCTAGAATCACGCTTAGAAGTTAGTTATGAGCGAAATAACCTATTAGATGTAATACGTTCAAGTGTTTTCAACCGAGTACATAGCGAGTAACTAAGATCAAATGACCGCTGCAAAGGATATACCGACAAGCGATATGACAAGTTAATCAAATTTTGTAATAGAGGAATAGTGTACTTCGAGAACGTAAGTGAATCGAGGACGTGCAAGTCGCCACTCCAATTTAAGGGTGAAATAAGAAAAGTGTGATAAAAGCGATTAAAGTGTCGTTACCCAATAATGAACCCGAGTCAGGTATCAAGCTAGCAAGTAATACATTCAGTGAATAATAGGATCAGTAACTGGCATAAAATCATATAACACGTAGAGACCTCTTTAGAGACATAAATGGCTAAAACACCCTTAAGTGATAATGACCATAATATAACATCTTAATAAACTAATAGAAGTAACAAACTAATAAACCCTCGCATAACGTCTTATACAAGAGAACGAGTGAGATACAACTAGTGAAGGATCTCAATTTAGTGTGTCGAACTATACTAGTGCGTAGCTAGGCTACCTTAGTCGCCCTAGTGGGACATTATCAGTGTTGTCTAGCATTTGGGCCATCGAGTATGTAGGTTTAGTTGCATCACTACAGTACAACAATTGTCCTTAAAGCTTGGCTTGATGTTATGTGATACCAAGTCAATGCTTTAGTTGAGCAAGAATTTTTGATCTTATGTGATACTAGGTTTCCCTTCCATGATCTACCTGATGCTATGTGATACTAGGAGTTCATTCAACAGCTTATAGGGGATTTTACTAATGCTATGTGATATCGGTACCCCCTCTCAGTAGTCTCATATATGATGTTATGTGAGACCATATACTAAAAGAGGGTCACATTCAGATAATGCACGACAATGTCAATGTTGCATTCATATAATGCACAATAGTGTTAGTGTTGCATTCAAAAAAGGCACAACAGTGTTAGTGTTGTATTCAAATAATGCACAGTAGTGTGTCATGTGTCGCATTCACAACATTTACAATTATTTTGGTTAGAGACCCAATAGAGGTTTACTCATAATGAGACATTTAACAGAGGACTAAGGGAATCATGAGACTTTTACTTCAACAATAGAACAATTGAACCTTATATAGGTAGCACTTGATTAGGAGCATGCATGTTTCTACTGTTTAGTATCATTTCTTTAGCATGCTTGTGTTTATAAGACTCATAATGTTGCTTTAGATTAGCGATTATACTATTAGTCTTTATAACCTTAGCATTCAGATGTTTTCCGCTCGTAGGTTTTTTAGCTTGAGTTGTTCGATGAACACCGTTGCAGCAGGACTTCCATATTTTTCAGAGTATTGTATTTTAGTTTTAGTGGGCATATATATTTATAGGACCCTTATTATAGTATTCAGATTAATAACTATGGGATGTATTATTTGGTTTTAAACTATGTGTTACGGAGCTCTAATTTATAAAAGTGTTTTTATAACTGTCATGTATGTATAATTTGATATCATTCAATATGTTTTGAGATGTAAATGAATAATTTTTTAAAATCAGGGTTGTCTCGGTGACCCAATGTAGTGCTTCAGGCCCAATAGAGTTTAAGTTGTTACTAGGGGCATCAACCTAGCCCAAAAAATCACATACCATTTTGACTAACATAACTTTGAGTCTTTTGTGTCTATGGACCAAGAGATTATGTTAAAATATTTACTAAACACAACAATAAGAAAAGATTCCAAAAATTATTATTTATTTCCGTGAGATTAAGGAATTAGGTTAGATTTTTGGGATTTTGTTCTAAGCGTTATATTCAACAAATATTTTATTATTTATTTTTTAATAAATAACACATCATCATCAAGCCATGATAGTAATATTGGCTGACGTGAAAATTATTGACGTCGATAAACGCATAAGACTAACGGTTTTGTAAGTCCAAATGAATTTCGAGGATTAGGATATACCCTTAAATAATTTCAAGGGCTAAATTGATGAGAAAACCTATATTGGAGAAAATGATAAATTAAGTCTACTACAATGTCAAAATAGTCCTTAAGCCTAATTTATAATAAGGGTAAAGTATAAAAATAGTCCCCAAACTTTTAAGGTGCTTGTATTTTGGTCACTTAACTTTTGAAACTTGCAATACAGTCATTGAACTTTTAGTTTGTTTTCATTTTGGTCCCTACTGCTATTTCCCGTTAGTTTTTACTGACATGACACTTAACCCCGTTAACCCATCCCCTTCTTTTTCTTCTCCAGGTTATTTTTTTCTTCTACAGGTTATTTTTTTCTTCTTATTCTTCTAGTTTGGAAACAAATAGGAAACGCTTGTGAAGTCGGCCAAGGTTCTTGCTCGAAAAGGGTTCAAGATTTCGAAATACCTCTGAATGCAGATGGAAAGTTAAAAATCCGGAATCTTGGTCGATAAAGGGCTCCGAGACATCTTAACATCAAATGGGGAGCTTCTTGAAGTAGGTGATATATGTTGCAACAAGAAACTAGCAGAAACTCTTAAAGATTTCAAGATACGGTATTGAGCCGTTCTATAATGGATCAATCGGATTGAATTTGGTAAGAGATATTAATAGAGCTGGAGGAATAATGACATTAAACGACCTGAATAAGTATGAAGTTAAAACGAGGGAACCAATCTCAGCTAACATTCTAGGCCTTAAAGTTCTTAGTATGCCACCTCCTTCCTCTAGAGGTGTTTCAATGGTGCTTGTAAGTGTATTCTGCTCCATGTTTTCTGTATTTGAAATTCATCAAAACAATGACTGTTTCAATTCTCCTGTAACAGGCATTGAACATCCTTACACAATACACAGTCCCTTCCGGTCTTTCGGGGTCGCTCGGAACCCATAGAGTAATTGAATCCTTAAAGCATGCGTTTACCGTGAGGATGAATTTAAGTGATCCAGAATTCGTCAATGTTTCAAAATTTGTAGCCGATATGATCTCTCCCGAGTTTTCGAAGAAGTTGAAGAAGACACTCAATGATAACATGACTTTTGGCCCCATTCACTATGGTGGAAGGTAAAAATTACCTTTGAGATGTAGTCAAAGACTTCATTTTCTTTCATATGATCAACTTTCCATCCTGGCAGGTGGAGCCAAGTTCATGATCATGGCACGAGCCATATATCCATTGTTCATGATCATAGCACGAGCCATATATCCATTGTTGATAAAAGGGAAAAAATGCAGCAGCAAATTGACTCACTGCACAAGCAAAAAGGTGTCTTAATTGAATTTAATGTCTATTTTGTAATATGGTTATGAGAAGTTGTTTTATCATCGGGAGCTTGTGTTGTTTTGGGGAGTTTACTTGCTTAATTTAAATTATGTTTGGATTCTTTTGTTTATTTTACTCTCGTGTTTTTTACTGGAAAAAAGTGGGTAAAATGCCCATAGCAAGAAGAATAAGTTGCCACGTAATAGGATTAACCGAGGTAACTTCCCACATCAGCAAAAACCAACAGGAGGTAACGTCAGGATAGAAATGAAAAAGAACTAAAAGTTCGATAATTCTATTGTAAGTTTCAAAAGTTGTGCGACCAAAATGTAAGCGTTCTAAAAGTTTGAGGACTATTTATATACTTTAACCTTATAATAATTGTAATAAATTATAACATATTTTAGAAGATGACCTACAACAGTACTATTTTTACATCTTTATTTGTATTTTTGCCTACACTTCTTGCATCGTGGAAGATCTCCTCAATTTCGGTCTGAGTGGTGTAATTTACTCTAATCTTACAGTGAAAGCTGAATACAACCAAAGCACGTGATATGCACGGCAAACACTAGCGCATTTTTTATTCTTCTTTCCCATATTTACTCTATTTCCGTCAACATTCTACGCCTATATATTTACCACATTCGAAAGTGACTTATTTTAATAAAAAACTTAATATTTATCAGTACAATATAAAATATGTTTATATTACAAATGAGTACATAAAGTATGTTATCTTTTTTATTTAACTACTTAAAATATTTGTTGGTAAAAATAAGTGTCTAAAGTTATTTTTTTGGTCAAAATATGTATCTAATTTTTTTTCAAAATATTTAACTAAAGTATTTGATTTTTTTTTTTCAAAACAAATACATAAAATATTTTTTAATTAAAATAAATGACTTTAGTACTTATTTGTGTTATAAGTTATTATAGTTATTGGAATCAGCCTTGAATAACAAATTCAAACGTTGTTGAATAATAAAAGCACAAGGTTAAGAGTTTAGTAAGTAAACCATCCTCGGTTTCTGCCATATATAATACCAATTATAATGCATCAGAGAAGAGGATGGTACTACCATCCACTCAATACATCAAAGCATTATCACATGAAATTAAGGAAAACATGAAGTACATATATATTAATCATGCTCGGAATATGTATAGCCTCGATTATTGAAAACGACCGCTAATAAACCAGAAGTAGAATTTATATATAGGTGGAGATCAAGCGAAAGCAGCTAGTTTAGGTTGAGGAGGATGAACCAAGCATATATCAAGATACTCATCAATGGAAGTATACTTATAGTCTGGATAAAGCTTGGACGCCTCCAAATCTTCTTCCGTCACTTCATACTTCAATTGATCTCCTTTTATGAATATGTTGTGTAAAACTGCCACCGGAATGTTGTCCGGGAAAGGTAAGGCTACATACAAACACAAAATTAATTCATTCATTATTTACATTCGATGAGAGTGAGACAAATGAAACGAAACGGCTGACTCACTCTCAGACAGTTTGACAAGTTCTTCATCTGGAACATAAACTCTTTTCAAGGTTCGGCCACTCTTTTTCTCCCATGTCGAAATCAGTTGGGACTGAGAAGCAATATTTCCGGGCGGCCTGTAGATTATTACACGGTTGGCTACCCTTGGATCTGTCGCTGCATTTACGGTATAGGCTGCAACATCTTCCTCGTAGTTGAATACAACTGCATGCATGCATGTTCATCCAAGATTTAGTATTACTAATAATAAGAAACCAAGTAACATGGATTAATTATTGCTAACTAATAACTTACCCTTGGCTTCACCAGTTCCATAAACCACAACTTGGGAAATATCCTGATGAGGATGAAGAATATAGTCAACAAAGTAAGCTGAAAACGTGTTTCCAGCAACGTAGGTGAATGGGATACCAGCTTCCTCAACTGCCCTTCTGATCTTCCTTTTGTTGCCAAGTATAGCTTCAAATGGTGGAAGTGCACTTATGGGTCTGTCTACTTCATTCCCATATTCTGATGGCACAAACCTCTACAATTTCATTATAACACCATTAATACATGTATTAATCAAACTTTAACACTAACTTAAATAGCGGGTTTGAGGAGCAGTAACCTTAATTGTACCGGCGTCTTTGATGGCTCTTATTATTTTGAGTTGGTCAAGATGTTGTGGGACAGCTAGTGTGGAAATGACAATCTCCACTTGTTTAAGCGCTGATACTAGCTTTTCATGCTCATCAAGATCCCCCTGTGTGTTACAACAAAAAACCAATCAATATGATACAAAATTTATGGTCAGTTATGGTGTAAAATCCAAAAGAAAAGAAGAAAAGATACATAGAAGATGGTGACTCCCATAGATTCAAATTCCTTGGACGTAGGAGAGTTAGAGCGGGTGTAAACAAAGGTAGGATGACCCAACGAAACGCTTGCTTTCACCATGTATTTCCCAAGGTAGCCAGTGCCACCAAATATCATAATCTTGCTCATTTTTCATTCTGCTTTCCTTCTTCATTTTCTCTTCTTTATATAACACAAAAGTCCTTCAACGTGTATATTTCAACTTTTCTTTGTATAAACTAAATGCAATTTGAATGCTGCATGCTGCTTATTTTTACTTTTTTTTTCTCTTTCACTGACTTTTTCTTTATATCATCAATATCCTTTTTTCCCTTTGATTTTTTAAAAATATCATATTCGTAAAATGATTCGGATTTAAATATAAATCTATAACCAAATGTACTGCGACTTATGGTTTTTATTATTATTTTCCTTTCAGATTTTAAATTAAAATATGTTAGTGATAAAAAACATTATAAGAGGGCGATTTTATCGGAATATCTCATTAGAACTTAAATTTAAATTTGATTATTATTTTTAAAAAAAAGTTTAAAATAATTTATAAATTTCAGAGAGCTTAAAAGATCAAATTTATCAAAATAGGAGATTAAAATTATATTTAAGGCTTAATGCCCAAACTATTTTTTTTTCCAAATAAGTACTTACATTTTTTTTGATATGCTTAACATTATAAACGTTAACATTTTAAGTGTTCAGGTCATCAACGGTTTTAGTTTTTTCCTTAAGTGACACGTGTCACAACCTGATAATTTTAAAAATATTTTTAAAAAATAATATTATATTTATAAAAAACCATAACTTTTCTTATATTATAAAACAGTCCCAAAATCTCAAATTCTAACTTAAGTATGCCGTCACCGTCGTCTCCGATCACGACCACTACCGCCAACATAATCCTTGCCATCATTCTAATTATAACTTTGGAAAAAATAAATTTTCATGTTTGGTATTTAAAAGATGAATTTACATAAAGAAAACTACTGATGTGACAAGCGCGTGGAATTTGTATAGAGAAAATGAAATTCAACTGAGAAGAATGGAAGGACGGCTACGACGTAAAAGAAAATGAGATGAAATGTTTTAATTTAATCAATCTAGTTGTAGCCGTTCAAAGTTTCAGCAGCGTCCCCTTTGGTGCAGTCTGTATTTTTAAAATTATTCTATTCTTATCAAATTTAGATTTGACTTGTATACTTCCTAAAGTGCTACCTAAGAATGGGGTAACTTAAAATGGGATGTAACTTAAAAATGAGTTGCAACTTTTAAAAGGGGTTCTGCCATACATTTATTATTTTCGTCTTTTGACTTTTTGATAAAAAAAATACATTTGGCTTTTGTGTAAAAGGTAGTGTGGGTAGCAAAATAAAACCAAATTTGATTTTGTGGGAGAGAGGATCTTCATGCGTGAGAAACAAGGGTGGAGAAAACAGTTTTTTTGAAGCTTTGGTACATCCTTGATCAACTCTTCCCTCGGAGGTTCATCTATGATTTAATTGAATTGATTTTTAGACAGCAGTTAGACAGTTTGATATTTTTGAGTTTGTACCGACGGAAACGCCAATTTACAGCAGTAGCATTTTTGGTGATTTTCTCTCACTTTTTCTCCAATTTATTACCCTTGTTGATCCAAGCAGCCTCCACATGTATTTCCAATGCCAATTTAACTGCAAATAAACCTTCAAAATCAAATCCTGCAAATTAGATTTAGAATAAAACAAATCATTATTGTGTAAGAGTTATATAATTTATTACACTCTAAGCGTAGACCTAAGGATACACCTATCTTTCTTCCTATCCTAAGATCAAAACAAGAAATTTTCATTTTCGATCGTATTTTATTTTACTGATGTCATTTATGGAAAGATTATATATATATTAATAAATTCTAAATTTAATTTTAATCTTATTTAAAAAAGAGGGAAAGGAAAAAAAATATTTCTAGCGAGTATAAAACCCATAAAATTTAAGGGAATATAAGGATTATTTTCGGTATGTATTAATAATGGTAAAATCAAAACATCATATTCTCAATAACATCCGTCCAATGATTGTTTAAAAATGGATACATGAAAACATTTTCCCTCACATTCTGGTCATGGTTTTTACACCAGTTCTATTAGTGAACTTGTTTAATACATTCATATCATCGTTTAAGCATCTCATTTTTTTATTATTATTCTGGAGTGAATATAAGATGATATATGTTCAAAAGATTATCAATCATTTGACGATGAACGTTTATATATCCCTACAAATATCGTGCTCGACTTAAAACTTTAAGTAATGACAAAAATCCATTAACTACTGAGGTCGTTTGGTTTGTACAACATCCCATTAACTTGTAAGATTGGTTGCTTATTTCTCAATTAAGAATGCTAAAACATGTACTAACTTTTAAGCATAATTAACGCCACGTCTCTTGACAATAAAATGGCTAAAAACTGTTTTGAAAACATGAGTTTAATAGGTAAGTATCCCACGATTAAACGCTAGTGCATGGTGCATCAAATATAAAGCAACTTAACTTTTAAATGTCTTCTCTTTTGCTTAAAAAAGTGCATGAAATATCATACAAACTTGAAACAAGGGGAACTGGTTGATAAAATTTCAACCTCTGCTGAAGATTAATATTTGAGTTGGAAGAAAACAGACTTTTCAGTTTACACCTTTAAACTACT